GCTCATATCCTTTGTGGACGTAGGTCGATTGACCGAACCACGTTAAATCTTTGTGTCTTTTGGTATATTTCTCGTTGTCTTCTTACTCGTGGTCTTTCGAGGTTTGCTTTGCTAGCTTCCGCGTTTACACCTGCTTATTTACGGTCCTAACACAAATTTCCCAATCATGATCAATCAAAATTTGTTCCCCTCAAACTCCTAGCCTAAAAAGTTATGAACAATGAAAAGAAAAACAATTCAAAGTTTTTGCAATCCCTTATTTCCTCAATCCCACCATATAATATAATAAATAACATACTATCCTTTGTTCAGGTAAAAATTACAAGAGTTAAAGGCTATGGTTATACCTTGACTTTGATTTCTTTTGAGTTTTTATGAAGTTGTTGAGACTTCTTTTGTTTTTTCTTTCTTTTACAAATTATTTAATACCCTAATCATTATATATACTTAATTATAAAGTGGTGAAAGTGACCCACTATTAATTTTAATATTACTTTATTTAATCACTATCTAAATAAATTATTAAAAGTACCCCCTAAATTCTATAATTGTAGTCATGAATAGTCCAAACCAAATTAGAACCCATCAAAAAATATTTTATGAAACCCAAGGCTATAGCACTCGAAACGACCAAAAAGGTCGTTACAATTTATTACTATTGTCCCTAAATATAATATAGTAACCATTATAATATTGCTACAAAATCATGTTATTGTTGTTAATTTGTAAATCATCCATTGGATGTTCTGAGATAAATGAAATTTTTCTCGTAGAATGTCACGACCCAAATTGAGTCGTGAGTAGCAACCACATTTAACCTCCTAAGGGGCGAACCAAGGAATCCAAACTCCATCATTTACCAATACTTCAACTAATAACAAAATAATGCGGAAGCTCTAACACTTATAAGAGTAACTAATCAGATAAACTTCTAGAGTTTATTACATATTATCCCTAAAGTCTAAAAACCATCACATCAAGAACATCTAATCTCCAAAAACTAAGTATAGGAGTATCAAATGCACCAAAATACAAGAATAAAATGGTATGTGTCAGAAAATAAAGGACATCATATTATGACTGAGAAAATCCAATACGAGCTTGAATGAATAACTCACATTGGGACCTCATATGCAGGAGATTGACTAGAGCTGAGGGTCATTCAAAGTCGTTGGTACACTCGCTGCACTCCATAAAATGAAAACAAAGAAAAACATAAGTAGGGCTTAGTACAGGGCAACATCAACTGGGTAGGTATCATTGGCCAAACCAAAATAGAATCTAATATACAACGAATAATAGCATGAAGTTAACTATAGCACTTAACAGGTGATAAACAACATGAACCAGTATCAACAACACTAAAGTAAGTATGTAATAAAAGTCAAGAATACCAAAATCATTCATGAGGACTCATGCCTCCAACTAAACCATTTGGGAAGTTGAGTTCTTTGAGATTGAGTACGTTCCGTTAATTCAATATATTTTTCCTTTAATACTATCGTGTCGGAACGTGATATTCCGATCCAATTATAAAATATTGGAATGTGACACTACGATCCAATTATACCGTGTTGGAATGTGACACTCCGATCCAATTATATCGTGTCGGAACGTGAGACTCCGATCAAATTATACCGTGTCAGAACATGACACTCCGATCCAATAATATCATCAATTTTTCATTTATTATCACCACTTTAAATTCATTTATAATATTTCATCAAGCCTTCTTTATTCAAGACATCACTTCGATAAAGAGGTTCAAGATTATAAGTTTCGCAGTTTCATGATATCATACCAATCACAAAACACACAACCAAGCCACACAACCACACAATTAAGTACATAGAAAAATTCATAATATCACTCAATGCATATCAATCACTAATAAGAGTTCACTATCAAATAGCATAAACCATAACCTACCTCGATCGAAGAGTTAAAGTGCGGCAAACTACTTCTCCAGTGTTTTTCCTTTCCTCAATGCCTAGAATGTTTACAATTTATCAAGTGTGCAATATTCGTAAACAAACTAGTCCGTAAAAGCCATATCTGTATAAACTAAACTCGATAACTCCTCCAAATCTATAGTCAATTTTCTAAAGTTCAAACCTAATGGTAAGTCTCAATTCCTCTCATTATCATAACCTTATTGGTATTCAAGTAATAAAATACACCTTATATTTAATTATCTATCTGAATTTATCAAAATCTTATTCATAATATGATAATAAAATAACAATATGTTAAGATGGAAGCCACTAATTACAAAATCAGTGGCAACCCAATACCCAATTCAACTATGACGTCCAGAACTCATTAACAATCATAGTAAACCTTAGTTGTTCCTCATTAATGGCAGTCCACCTTCCAATAAAACTGAACCTTTAATTATCCAATTCACACCCTTATATAGCCATATTATTTTACTATATAATAACCATATAACAATACAATAGGATAAGCACCATAAATTATAACCACTAACTTGATCCTGAGAAAAAAATAAATAAGTCAAAACAACCATATACTCTTATCCCTAAAATCTATCACATACGGCTTATGATCATTTTATAATGTTCATCATCACGTATTAATTATCCACCCAAGAACTTATTCCAAGAATCATAAAATTTTATAACGTAACCTAAAAAATATAATTTGTTATTTAGCCTTTAAGAATGAAAACTTTCAGCAGTTCTCGATCATTCTCCATATATCAAACAATATATATATAATAAAACGTTTTAATATATCTAGCAAATCTACATATGAACGTAGAGTTTGTTAAAACTACCTGACGTAATGGCCACTTTACTTTGTTCTCGTCTTTCTCCCCCTCTTTTTTTTTCTATAGATTATTTACTATCCTAATTATTAAAAGACAATTATAAAATTAGTAAAAGTGACCTACTATTAAGTTTAATATTATCTTCTTGAACCATCAACTACGAATAGTTCAAAACACCGATTTATAATCTATCGAAAAGTATTTTATCAAATAAAGCTCTAGCACTCAAAACGACTAAATGGGTTGTTACATTAGATATCAATTTACCTATCGTTCATTCTCGAACGATAAAAGTTGCGAGGGTAAGAAAGGGTAGAATAATTAACAAAATGTGTGAATATCTTTTGTGCATATCATGCTCAGCGTCCCAAGGTTTTACCTCAAATGCATCGAACCAACCAATGAGAGAGCTACATCTCCTCTCATATTATGTCTCAAATAGGGTCATATCACTACTCAAGTGATAGTTATTGTTGTCTCTAAAATCAACTAACTGCAAAATATATCATCAATAGTCATCAAAACTAATTGTACACACATATGCAACATGTTCTCAAACAATTGTAACTCTTCATAATAGCTTTTCTAAAAGTTCTAAATAAGGTAGTACATGTAAATAGTGTACTTCACTGTCCCAAACAATATCATTTTTTTCATAACTAAAATGAAAAGTCTATTCAAGGAAACTGCCCTACCAAGAGGACAATCACATAATCGATGCATAACCTAGGTTGAATAACATTAGATACTCTTTCCATAGTGTCTATATCGAACATTTTCATTCATTTGATGTTATCTCCTTGAGTTTTATTCACCAAGAATCAACTAGTCTAGTGTTTATTACATCATACTTGCATTCGATTTATCAGAACATCACATAATTATCACAGCACTGGATTAAAGTCAACACTCTTAATACTAACAAACATCATAACTACAATCTTCATTTACCTTACTCTCAAACTGTCACTCATATAAAAGTATTCTTATCAAATATATGTTCAAACTATGGCTATCTCTCTTTCTATTTAAGAATTTATTGACAGATACGAGTATTAAATCGGGCTAATAACTCTAATTTCAAAACTTTGAGGGAAACTCTTCCTTAGATTCTGTAACAATCAAAAGTAACCAAATTTCTGACTTAAATTATGCACAAGTCCTTCCCAAATACTCAATGCGATCAATCATTCTTTACCTTACAAATTCATATCTTGATAATTTTAAGAAATCCATCTATACTAAATTATTGTTGATCGTCTCTTCATAGATCATACTATATCTTTTGCTAAAATTCAATAGTACTCATTACTGAACTCAAACATCACAAAAGAACTTATTGTCACACTCGTGTTGAACGTAAGTACAGTTTCTAAAGTCTTTTCAATAATTTTTAACCAATATGATAAACATGTGACGCTATTATCATGACCAAAGAAAAACCAATGAAATTATGTGTCTCAGAATCAAATTCTCAACTCTTATGATAATACCTCTTTAGTATTTGCAATCAAAGGAAAATTTTCATGCTCTCACCTATTTGTGAAAGCTGAACATTCCTAAAATTCTATATTATTTTAATTACGACTACAACTCCTTTAGATTCTATTTGAGACCACAACATCTTCTCAAACTTTCCATACAATCACATTATTCATTAAATAATTAAAAAGCACAACATTAGATGCTCACAATTAGTTAGTACCATATAAAACTCGTTTAACCAACAATCCTTATTGTTGACACCCAGTTTCGGACCTCCACAATATACATTAATCGTCGAGCTTATTAAATTTTAAATGATTTGAAATAATTAGTTTTTATAAAGTTCAAAGTAGTTTTCAAGTTTTTACCCTTTTTATAATATATATTTTAGTGATTACTTTGTTAAATTAACTTGTTTAAATTATGATTATAATTTTGAATTTTGATTTGATTATTTCATTTCGTTAAGTTTAAGAAGCTCATTAATTAATTAATATTAATTTGTCTTATTTAAATGCCAGCCGAATTTTCTAAATTAATTCTTTTGGGTCACCCTTTTAATCTTGATGGTAATTGTTTATAAATTTCTAGCTAAATCTCACCCTTTGCTTAACTCCCAGCAACCTGTAGCTTTTTCGTGTTAAGTTTGAATCCTAGTCTGGGGGTATATATTTCATGTTAGTCATGAGGGAGAAAACAGAAGGAAATTTAGAGAGGGAAGTCATAAACATAAAAAAGAGGAGACAGAGGGTTCTGATTTCTTTTTTTCTATAGTTCTCTCTTGCTGTGATACTGCTTAAGGCCTGATAGATTGTTTGTCGAGTGGGAAGAAAGTGAAATTTCTTCCAGCGAAAGTTTGGGTTTGAATTTTTGATCTGCCCAATGACATCGAAGGTCGATTTTGGTGTTGAAGTTGTCATCACTCCGCTGCTCGTCTTATCCCAGTCCAGCTGCCCGAAAGAAGGTAATATACCCCTCCCTTTCATCTCGTTTTCTAGCTTCTTCTCCATCCCTTCATGAACTTTATTTTATGTTGGAAAGTTTGGTTCTATGACTATTCGCCGTTAGTTACTATGAGTATATGGATATCTCTATATCGGGTTGAAGATTTAGGGGTCATGACTAAATGTTATGGCCCTTAAGTTGTTTGGGTTTGAGTTTTTTTTTTCCGTATCGTTCTTTCTGGTATGGGAATTCTTGTTGAATGAAGTACTGATTTTCCCCATCATTTTGGTGTCTCCGTCTAGTTTGTATGTTCGTTTAGTCTGGATATGGGGGTCTCCTTCCGTTTTACTTCAAATTTTGTAATGGGTTAGTTTACTGTCTTATATCTCCTTTTTGTTTCGACTAAAACGTTTTCTGATAGAGGCTGGTTTCGTTTGAGCAGGAGCTCCCATCTCACTTTTTTCTCATCGCGCAAGATTTATAATCGATTATTATTCCTTGTCCCCTTGTCTTGGTTAATGAAGGAAGTTGCATCTGTAGTGATCCTTATTTTGTTCCGGGCTTTATGTTTGGCTCATCGAGATCATGGTCACCGCTCATTACTTGCTTAATGTGATTTTTTTATACAGCCTGAATATTGTCTTTGGTCCGACTTTCTCTTTGTAGATTTGTCACTGAATTACTTTTCTCTTTTCTTAAGCTAAAACTCGTCTCTCTTCTTATTAAACTCAACTTCGTACAGCCAATTCACTGTGAAATTTGGTTATGAGCAAAAATACAAAAATTAAAATTTGTTTAGGCCATTTGACTTTGGTCTTACAACCTGATTGTCTGAGAAGTTTTAACTTATGTCGGCTCCTTCAATTCTATTTTGATTAGCTTTAAGTGTTCATCTCCGTAATGATATGTTTAATTCCTTCCAACTAATGTTTTTCTCTAGTCACATGGCAAGCTCACTGTTTTGCAGAAATGACAAACATACACCTTCCCCACTCTTTATTGAAGTTGTTAGTAGCTTAATTTTGGTATGAAGCTTATGCTTATTTCACTGTGATCTTGTTTATTTGTTTTATCCGTGTTTTGGAAGATTAGTTTTACTCTGTTGGTGTATAGGTTTGTTTGCCTTAACAGTACAAAGCTTTGGTTTATTATTTCTTTGTGATATGTTAATATGTTATTTGTAATGTGTATTGAGGAAGATGGGTCAAATATTTTTTGTTAGATTTAAATTAGTCATCTGCATCTCATCCCACATTTGTTTTAATGTCATCCCTCCCGTGTGTTGAAATATTTCCACCCTTAGATTGTTGACTATTGTTTGACTCCTTTTGTAAGAGTATTCGCCTAAAATCATACAGTTATTATTTGATGTTGATTTTATTTATTGAGGTTTTGAAACTATACAGGATTGTTGTCTTATTGATGGTGAAAGTCTGGAATCTGCCGGATCCCAATTACGTTTTTTAGTGGCCTGGTATTACTGGAATTGTTTGTGTCGGTTAAAATCCCTTCGCGATTTGCTTACTTTTATCACAATATGCCAGCCTAAAGTATGGTAGTCTGTAGCTTTATTTCACTTGTCATTTTCTGATGTTTGATTACGTCTGTTACTCATCGTTTTTTTATTTTGTTTTAATTGCACAAGCAAAATTCGTTTGGGCCCTCTTGGACTCCTTTTGGTCCCTGCATCTCAATAAAGAGTCACAAAGACTGAAAATTTCTTCATTGACTCAGCCAACCGGAAAAGGCGTACAGGTCCCTAAAATCAAGAAACACAGAGTCATTGAAGAATTGAAGTATTGTAGCCAAAAGCTTATATTTTGTATTTATTTTATGTCGTATTTTGTTGGTTTTAGGCTTAAGGCCCATTTAAGTTTCATTTATTTTTATTTTGTTAGTTTAGGATCGGTACAATTGAAGTGGGTCAAAAATCCACAACAAAATGGGTCCAAATAACGGTCCAGGCGGACAGATAACCCGGATTTGGACCCAAACTCTCTCTCTCTTATTTTTACTACTTATCTACTTTTATTTATCACTAGTTTTAAGTTAGAAAACTTCAAATCCCCATCGAATACCATAATGTTTTTGTGACTTAAAGTTAATACTTAAGTTTAAATAATTTAAAAAATAATTCTTCAATTTACAAGTTCTACTAGATAAAAACTAATAATCCATGTCAAACAATTTCTAATGAATTCTCCAAACTCAAAAGTCAAGTTGGACAAAAGTTTAGCCAAATATGTTAGCTGCCGGAAAACTTTATTTTAGCGTATGTTTTAGGTGCCTAATACCTTCCTAAAATATAAATAGGAATCCACGAACCCTTTTAAAGTTTTCAAATGATTTTTCTGTTTAAGTCTTTTGGAAACAATAGTTTTTTCTTGATTTTTTTTTCTTAAAAAATAAAGTGGCCACTCTAAAAGTTAAAAATTCTTTAAAACGAATATTTTAACTTTTCTGTACAAAACACTTATTATATAATTTCATCTCAGTCACAATCTATCACCAACCCCTTATCGTCATTATGAACTCTAATCACCTCCATTGTATTAAATTGTTATTCCTCTTGTCAAATATTATATTAAAACACATCATAATACACACTATAAATACAATGCCTCTACAATTTTAATGCAAGCACCACACAAACGCAGATATTGTTCGGAACCAAAAACAATGATCTTGAGGACATCTGAATCCAATCTCCACCGTTCAAATCAAGAACCAAAATGTCGGGAACATATAGTTAAAATTTTAGCCTGATCCAACGAGTAGTTAATTGAGAAACACGATTTGAAGATTGCTAGTCGAAGGATAGGTATGCATCAAACTAAATCTTTTTTTTTCTCTCTCTCTTCTCTCTTCTCTCTTCTCTCTTGTTGAAAGATCTCTCAAAATCTCTCTTATGTCATAATGTCTTTCAAAGATAATACTAATGAGTAGTTCAACTTTTCTCATAAGACCATCGTCTATTTATACAATTGTGCTTTTCCTTACAAAGTCAAAATTAACTACAAATAGGATTACAATTACAATTCTTTTCCTAATAGAATTGAAAACCAAATAAAGAAAATAATTTCAATCCCTTTTCAAGTAGGATTAGTCCTAGTATCCAACTCTTAAGCAAATACTAAACTCGATATCAGAACCGGTGAAACACGTTCAAGACTTTGTTGCCACTAAAACTGATTCTGAATGAGAATTTTCGATACTAGTACAACAAACATAAATCATACAGGTCATATATTACTTTCTCTTTTTACAATCATGCTTATCTAGAACTTTTCATCTTCAAGAAGTGAACCTTTTCCTCGACATGACACCTTAAACTCAGGTATACCAATCAAATTTAACGGACTTACCCAATTTTATAATCATTTTCTTAATAAAATCTTCATTTTAGTTCACCCGAGTATACTCAATAGGACTTTATTTCCCTATAAGTTTGTCATCCTAGTTTCAATCTACATTTTGAAGCTTAAGATAAAATCGGCAGTCCTCATTCAGAACTCTCAAGATACATATCCCAATCTAAATGCACTAGTACCATACCAAAGATCCACCACTAGAATACATCATACCTACCGAGAAGATCATATCCAAACAGGTCACGTATTTCTATCATGAAATAAATCTAAAATATTATTAAATTCATTTTCAGATCAGGTTGATGATAAAAATAACACACATCATAACTTTAAACAAGCAAACATCGATATTATTGTTGTAGTCGTATCATGACCCTTTTTTTTGTGTATACACTTAATCTATAAAATCGTGGTAGTGATTCTGCCCTCAATTGACTCAACAAAATTTCATTATTCACTAAGCAATCCATATATCTTATGAGAACTATACTTTTCAAAGTAATGATATTCATTACCTAGCCGTTCCTTACGAACTTTTTAAATGTTCTCACCTTGGCAAAGTCATCTTGCTTCACCTCATCTACTTCATATCCATTAAGGTCCGGAGAATATACTTCTCCATTAAGAAGACAGAAAATGCTACCCATGAAAATTAGGGTTTCAACTTTGAGAACTTAATAAAAATACCATACTAGTTACTAGTAATTACATGTCAATAGCGAATCGTGGAAACCTGTTTATTTTTAAGGACGTATACTCACTTGTTGGTGATGGTGTTTTCAATTTTACTACTCTAATACTAATCATATGTGAAATAGAGTGAAGAAGGTCAGATACCAATTTGTATCACCTAGATATCAATTGGACTCAAGTAGTAGCACGAAAGAACAAAGGAATAAAGTTTCCTTAAAGTCTTATAGTCTCTCGAAGAAAAGCAAAGGCATCCCCATACTGTTCTACCAAACTCTACTAGACTTTTCGTTGTGTGATGAGATCGCCGAACCGAACGCTCTGATACCAAGTTTGTAACGGCCCAAAATGAGTCGTGAGTGGCATCCACACTTAATCTTCTAGGCGGGCGAAGCAAGGAACCCAAACCCCAACATTTACCAATAATTCAACTTCGAATAACAAAATAATGTGGAAGCTCCAACACTTATCAAAGTAACCATTCAGATAAATTTCTAGAGTCTATTACATATTATCCCCAAAATCTGAAAGTCATCACATCAAGGATATCTAATCTCCAAATACTAAGTCTAAGAGTATCAAATGCACCAAAATACAATAATAAAATGGTACGTGTCTGAAAACAAAAGACATCATGTCATGGCCGAGAGAATCCAATACGAGCTTGAATGAATAACTCACCCTGGGACCTGATATGCTGGAAATTTACTAGAGCTGAGGGTTAGTCAAAGTCGTTGGTACGCTCACTACACTCCATAAAAGTAAAACAAAGAAAAATACAAGTAGGACTCTGTACAGCGCAATATACACTGAGTAGGTATCATCGGCCAACCCAAAGTAGAAACTAATTTACAATGAATAATAGTATTAACTCAACTATAGCACTTAACAGGTGATAAGCAACTAAAAACATGAACTAGTGTCAACAACACTAAAGTATGTATGTAACAAAAGTAAACAATACCAAGATCATCCATGAGCACTTATGCCCTTAACTTAACCATTTGGAAAAGTTGAGTTCTTTGAGATTGAGTACATTCCGTAAATTCAATATGTTTTTCCTTTAATACTATCGTGTCAGAACATGTCACTCTGGTTCAATTATACGGTGTTAAAACATGACACTAAGATACAATTATACCGTGTCGAAACGTGACACTTTAATCCAATTATACTGTTTCATAACGTGACACTCTGATTCAATTATATAGTGTCGGAACGTGACACTCCGATCTAATAATATCATTACTTTATCATTTATTATCACCATTTTCATTTCATTGATAATATTTCATCAAGCCTTCTTTAATCAAGGCATCATTTTGATAAGGAGGTTCAAGATTATAAGTTTCTCGGTCTCATGATATCATACCAATCACAAAACACACAACCAAGCAACATAGCCACACAATCAAGTACATAGAAAAATTCTTAATATCACTCAATACATATCAATCACTATTAAGAGTTCACTATCAAATAGCATAAATCATAACCTACCTCCACCGAAGAGTTGAAGTGTGCAATCTATTTCTCCAATGTTTTTCCTTTTCTCAATGCCTAGAATGTTTACAATATATCAAGTGTGCAATATTCGTAAAACAAACGAGTCCGTAGAAGCCCATATATGTATAACCTAAACTCGATAACTTATTCAAATCTATAGTCAATTTTCTAAAGTTCAAACCTAATGGTAAGTCTCAATTCCTCTCATTATCATAACCTTAATGGTATTCAAGTAATAAAGAACACCTAATATTTAATTACCTATCTGAATTTATCAAAATCTTAATAACCTTAATAGTATTCAAGTAATAAAGAACACCTAATATTTAATTACCTATCTGAATTTATCAAAATCTTAATTATAATATGATAATAAAATAATAATATGTAAAGATGGAAGCCACTAATTACGAAATCAGTGGCAACCCAATACCCAATTCAACTATGACGTCCATAACTCATCAACAATCATAGTAAACCTTAGTTGTTCCTCATTAATGATAGATGTCCACCTTCCAATAAAAATGAACCTTTAATTATCCAATTCACACCCCTATATAGCCATAATATTTTACTATATAATAACCATATAACAATACAATAGGATAAGCACCATAAATTATAACCACTAACTTGATTCGGAGAAAAAAAATAAATAAGCCAAAAACAACCATATACTCTTATTCCTAAAATCTATCACATGCGGCTAATGATCATTTTCTAATGGTCATCATTACTTATTAATTATCCACCCAAGAATTTATTCGAAGAATCATAAAATTTTACAACGTAACCTAAAAAATATAATTTGTTATTTAGCCTTTAAGAATGAAAACTTTCAGCAATTCTCGATCATTCTCCATATATCAAACAATATATATATATATATATATATATATATATATAAAATAAAGCGTCTTAATATATCTAGCAAATCTACATATGAACACAGAGTTTGTGAAAACTACCTGACGTAATCGCCCCTTTACTTTGTTCTCGTCTTTCTCCTCCCTCACCCTTTTTTTTTCTTCTACAGATTATTTACTAACCTAATTATTAAAAGACTAATTATAAAATTATTAAAAGTTATCTACTATTAATTTTAGTATTATCTTCTTTAACACCAACTACGAATAGTCCAAAACAACCATTTATAATCTACTGAAAAGTATTTTATCAAATAAAGATCTAGTACTCAAAATGACTAAATGGGTTGTTACATTAGATACCAATTTACCCATCATTCGTTCTCGAACAATCAAAGTTGGCGAGGGTAAGAAAGGGTAGAAGAATCAACAAAATGTGTGAATATCTTTTGTGCATATCGTGCTCAGTCTCCCAAGGTCTTACCTCAAATGCATTGAACCAACCAATGAGAGAGTTACATCTCCTCTCATATTATGTCTCAAATAGGGTCATATCACTACTCAAGTGGTAGTTATTGTTGTATGTGAACTCAACTAACAACAAAATATATTATCAATAGCCATCAAAACTAATTGTACACACATATGCAACATGTTCTCA